CAGCAGTGACAATGTGCTCTTTCAGAGGTTGGGAGGAACCCTGATTCCATGTGAATATGTACTGATACACCAATGTACTTAATTCCTTATAAAGCTGACATGGCATTCAGTTGGAGCTCAGATTGTTTCTAGGTATTTTTTTAAATTCATCCATGAGATGTGGGTGGAAGCTAAGAGCCAGCCACAACTGCTATGGGTCTGGAGTTTTATGTAAGTCAGACCAAATGGGATTCACCAGTTTGACACAACTGAGCTAACTATTTGTTTTAAATTTTAGATTTTCATTGAATTCAACATCCATTTCGACCATGGTGGGATTTGAATCCAAATCTGGGTCTGGATTACTAGTTCACCAACATTACCCCTGTACCATTGCCTCCCCACATCTGGCTGTGTTACATTAAACCTGATAGTCAGCATTGTTTACAATCTGAACAAAGGACAGAGCTGTAAAAGGGTCACTTCAAGAAGAGGTTCAAATTCACTTGAAAATAGTGTTTTCAAATTCCTGATCCTTTATATATTAGAGACATCACTAAAATTCAAATCTTCAGAGGGTTTGATGTCTTGGCAGGGTCTTAGCAGTGGAGGGTGTCGAAAACACCTCACAACTTTTTACAGGATCCATGAATTTTTGAGCATTATGTCCCAGGATCACAAGGCATTGTTTCTTGGGACTGGGGAGCAGTTAGTCACTGCATCCTCCATCTGAGGGACCATTGTGTGTCCCTGTACTGGAGACAGAGGGGAGAGTCAATGTAATCGGTGCCTCAGCCTACAGCTAACTCTGAGCTTCAAAGTGAACATTAGAATATTAGCAGTTAAACCACCAATATGTTTAACAAAACATTATTTGAATTGATTCACCTTTATTAGAGGCAGTAACTCATTTATTATGACCAGTGAATGGCTCCATTCACTCAGGAAGGAAAGCCATGCTTTATGTCAACATTAAACACACCCCAGCAGCCACGCGTGCACGTGCGCGCGCACGCACACACACACACACACACACACACACACTTTCACTCACTCACACTGTCTCTCTTCCTGCATGTGCGACCTGAGTCCTACACAGACTGGGTTAATTCACATCACAGCCTGCAGCATGTCCACTCACTGCACTGACAATGCTGAACTGAAATACAGTGCACCATCCCTCCAAGGCTTGCTGGTAAAAATCAGCCCTACTTTATCTCCCAATGTTGTGGGAACAGCTTCAATGCCTGCTTTTTTTTATTGGAGAATTTTTTTAATGGACGATAAGTACCAGCCCAAGAACAACAATCATAGAATTTGCCCTCGATCCAGGGCTTTCATAAGTCTCAATTAGTCAGCTGTACAGAGCCAACTGACAAGTTGCTCTGGGTTCAGCAAATGCTGTCTTTTATCTCTAGTGTCCTGCCACCTCTCTCTCTGTGTCAGGGTTATCCTCATGACATGCATTTTTGAATCAAACAGGAAAGGGTCTGTGCCACCTTGCAATACTGAGATCCAGTGGCTTCTGAATGCAGCTCTGCTGCTCATTCAGAGACTGAGTGAAGTGGCCATTTCTCCATAGAGAGAGAAACAGTCCTCTGTTTGACAACTTCCTTCACGTTTCTTCAGATATGAGGGAGCAATCTCGAGCCCTCAGTTCCAAGGACTGCTCCTCAATGGAAACGTAATCAGCATCACTAGTATTCGTGTTTAAATTAAAGAGCTGTTTAAATTCGTTAAACTGGAGAGAAAATGGGTGAAGGAGATACAATGTCAAATTTCAAAAGGAAATTGGAAACATGTTTGAGGGGATTTGGAGGGTTCTGAGGGAAGAGCAGGACAATGGGACAAGTTGAAATTGGCATTAGGGTCAACGCACACTAGATGGGCTAAATGATCTCTGATGTTGTGAGAATCGCTGATACGACGGTGAATGTCAAAAGTGAAAGTTCTAGAAACCTGGAAAAGGGACAGTATAATTATCAGACTGAGTCACAGACTCCAAGGGCACATGAAGGTGCGTTGCCTGCACCTTGTGGAATGCTACCATGCACATGTCCACCGATTCCCGTCATCGTCTGTCTCAGGGGACGAGGGAGGAGCACACTGAATGCTGCTGGAAGTCTGATTTTTCTGAAGTTAAACCACCTCCTGGAATTGTATCACCCCTCATCAATGTGTTCCAGGAAAGGAAAACATTCCAGGAATTTCGAATGTCTATCAGTGGTAGCAGAAATCCAGGGAGGTTTGTTTTGCTTTCCTCTCCATGTAAATTGGAGGAATGCATATGTTGGTTGAAAAACATATTCTACATTGTCCCAGAAAAGGTATAGCATGGAGTTAGAAACATTCCCAGGATAGTTCAAGCACACAGATGTATACCGAATAAAGCTCCCTCTAGACTTACCAATTTAAACACTACCAGGACAGGGACAGCATGCGGTTAGGTACAGAGTTAGGCTTTCTCTACAATGTCCCCATCAAACTTTCCCAGGACAGGTACAGCACCAGGTTGTATGCAAAGTACAGTACAAGGTTAGATATACAGTAAAGCTCCCTGCACACTGTCCCCTATCAAACACTCCCAGGACAGGGACAACATGGGGTTAGATACAGGATAAAGCTCCTCTACCCTGTTAACGTTAAAAACTCCCAGGGCAGAGACAGCACAGGATTAGATACAGAATAAAGCTTCCTGCACACTGTCTTCATTAGACGCTCCCAGGACAGGGGCAGCAAAGGTAAAAACCTGGAGAATAGAGAAACAAGCTATGGCATTTAATCTTCAGAGAGACTGAACAAGGCAAAATGGCAAAAGGAGTGTTGGCAATAAGCTGAGGAAGTGTATTTGTAACAGTGTGTCAGGGAACAGTTGGGACTCAAGAGTATTTTAAGCCTAATATCCTGTTATAAGCAACGTCTACAGTGCTAGGTGCAGCTGAACTCATGGCCAGCAATGGTCTGGTTCTAAAAATCAGGCTGTTTCAAGAGCAGAGCTGCAACACTGCATCTTCTTCAGATGTACTGAAGGAGGTGACAGAAATCAGGAGAGGCAAGGCCATGGAGGGATTTGAGATTGAGACTTGAGCTAGAGTCAAGGTCAGCCGATGCACCCAGTGATATAGGGTAATGGTGTCAAAAGACATGGCCAACAGAGTTTTGCGTGAATGTGGAAGCCGGCCAGGAAAGGGTATGTTTAGACAACGGATCATCAATGTACAGGTCTTTGAAAAGACTTCATTCCCTGTAAAAGGCTTTGGAACATCCTGAGGTCATGAAAGTTTTTCCTTTCATCCCAAAAACAGTAACATTAAAACCATGAGTAGGCCACTCAGCTTCTCAAACTTGTTTCAGAGAAACAGGAGAAGGCCCTTTAAGCTCCTTGAGTTTGTTACACTGGACCAGGTAGAGACTAGTTATGCAGTAAATGTATGGGTTAAATGTTTGATACAGGTAGGATATTGGAAAGTTACATCTGTTCGACCAATTCTACATGGATGATTAGTGAGTTATTGTAATGTTGGTCGTCAGGGGAAGTAGTGTTAGTTTTACTAATATTGGTCCAATTTCGGGGAGTTACTTGTGAAACACATTTCCCTCCACTATCCCCCTTATTCCCTCACCAGTTTCCATCATCGTCCCTGTGCGAATGCTTCCTTCTCTCCCTCCTTTCCCCCCCCCCCCCCCCCTTCTCCATTCTTTCCTCCTCCACCTTTTGTTCCCCCCCTCCCTGTCCCCTCCCACTATCACCCCACACTCCCCCCATCACCATCTCCTGAACCCTCTCTCCCCTGTCAGTTTCTTCTGCTTCACTCCTCCTGCCCTTAATGGCTCTTTTCCCTGCATTATCCCTCTCCTTGCCACCATTTCCCATCTTCTCCCCCCACCCAACCATGTGCCTGTCTTCTCCCTGCCACCTCACCCCCCACACTTATTATTTTAGAATCTCGACCAGATGGTCCCCATACCTAAACTCAAGGGGATACAGGTCACAATTATGAAACCTTTCTGAATAATTTCAATCTTCTCGGCCTGGTGTAATACTGCCAAACCTATGTGACCACAAGTTGTCAGTGGACAGGGGTTTGGACATTTCCTGCTGTAAGTCTGAAAGGAAATGTCCACCTCTCAGTCAGTGCCCATGACTCATTCATGGCAAAAAGGAGTCCAACGGGCAGATGTATGTGCGTAGTTGAGTAGGTCATTGGCTAAGTTGATTCAGGTTGGTTCATGTCTGGACAGACAATGCAAGAGGAGCAACAACCAGCCACTGCCAACTGGGAGTGAAGGATGAGATGGAGGTGGGTTAGTACATGGCTATAGACTGGACTCCAAAGGTCTCCTGTTCGAACAACAAACACGAACATGTTTGACCAGTGGAAGACAGATCATAACCATGAGGCTAGTCTACAGCTCAAATTCACCGTGCGCTCCTTGTAAATGGGTTTACAGCCACAAGCCTCCCTGCAGAACTCTCTGCTCCTCCTCCTTATAGCAGAGAACAAGACACAGGAGCCAATCTTCATGGAGCTTTCCTCTCTGGGCTCATGGTTCAGAAGAGCTAACTGCAAATTGCTTTTATTTCTAACCTTTACTCCTCCATCAGTGACTTCTCCTCTTTCTTGCACACTCCGCCCCAATATTTTCTCTCAACCATGCTTTATAAACGAGGCGGGTTCAGTCATTCAAAGTGATGGTTTGTCAGGGGATGCAGCAGTCTATGAAAGCCATCTACAATAGAGTTTGTAATTTGTACAGGTTTAAAATGATCATCATGCACCATTAACAGCAGAAAGTTGGAAAGCCATGTTTGGATTTCAGGGGAAACAAAACAGCTGGCAATCGAAAGGTGACAGAACATTCCCAATGGATGTTAAGACCTTTCCTAATTGTCCTTTTTTACATGTGTACAAAGTCCTGGTCACATGAAGTTGGCAGTTGGTTTAAGATGACCATGTGACCTGTACATCTCTTTCTCTCTCTTTCTCTCTCTCTCCCCCACCCCGCCACCCCCCACCCCCTCAGTGCACGTAGTGCAGCCAGTAAATCACATTGAACAAGCCAAACGTTATGGGGAACACCACCCGGGACCATTTGTCGATGGCGCTAACATCCGTCAACTTTGGGATCTTCAGCTTGAGTTTGGAGGATCGACGACGGAGGCGGCTCTTGGCGGGGTCACGGTCTATGTTTCGCTCCCTGGTGCTTATCCCTAGACCATCTCTGGATCCGACTCGACGGAACTGGATCCCAGAGCTGTCAAAGGACATGACGGAATTGCGTGAATCACTCACACTGCTGGCAACCTCTGATGGGAGGACTTCATCATTCAGTTCCAACGTGCTTAGGAGGATATTTCCATGTGCATCAACCTACATGCGGAGAGAACACAGCATCAGGGTTTTTCATATCACATATTTTCACACCATTTGAGTCAGAAGCAAACACTCTCAGGTGAAGTCTGCAATCAGGTTAGGTCACCGCTGACTGATACAGTATCACATTCACAACTCCTATTAATTATCTGAAGACACAATCCTGCTACAATAAAGCTGGATTCAAAAGCTGCTCCTAGGAATGATGATCATTACTGAGCAAGCCCATTTGAAACACGAGAGCCAGGTCATCATAGAGTCAGAGATTTATTACACCACACAATAAGGCTATTTAGCTCAATGAGCCCATACTGGCTTTCTGTAGACCAAACTCTGAGTTTCTCTCTCCCACTCTATCCCTAAAAACCATAAAGTCTACTCACCAGTTACTGAATTTAAATTTTTCACTGTCTTCATGTCCACCCGCTCAAAGGCAGTGCATGACAGGTATTTTTTTGGATATAATGTTCCTCCTTACGTTCTACACCACCCCAATATCTCTGTCTCAAAGCCTTTCATCTGTCTCCCCTCATCCTTGCACCATCAGACAATGGGAACAATCTTTCCTTGTCTGTCATCTCCAAACCTTTCCACATCTTGTCCACCTCACTCAAATTTCCCCTCAATCTCCTTCACTCCACGGAGAACAACCCCAGCATTTCCAACCAAGCCTTGTCACTAAAATGCTTCATCCCTGGAGCATTCTGGTAAATCGCATCTGCATCATCTCAAGGCCCCTCACATCCTTCCTGAAGTTTTGAGACCAGAACTGGACCCAATGTTCTCCTTGCGGCCGTCCAGATCTTTATAAAAGTTCAGCATAACTTCCTTGCTTTAGTATCAAAAATCTCTATAAATGAAACATAAAAACATATAACATATAAAATAGGTGCAGGAGTAGGCCATTTGGCCCTTTGAACCTGCACCACCATTCAATATGATCATGGCTGATCATGCAATTTCAGTATTCCATTCCCGCTTTCTCTCCATACCCCTTGATCCCTTTAGCTGCAAGGGCCATGTCCAGCTCTGTCTTGAATATATCTAACAAACTGGCCCCAACAGCTTTCTGTAGGAGAGAATTCCACAGGTTCACAACTCTCTGATTGCAGAAATTCTTCCTCATCTCAATCCTGAATGGTTTACTCCTTATTCTAGATTGTGATCCTTAGTTCTGGACTTCCCCAACATCGGAAACATTCTGCCTGCATCGAGGCTGTCCAGTCCCATCAGGATTTTATATGTTTCTATGAGATACCCCTCAGTCTCCTAAATTCCAGTGAGTAGAAACCCAGTCAATTCAATTTTTCTTCATATGCCAATCCTGCCATCTCGGGAATCAGTCTGGTGAACCTTCTCTGGACTGCCTCAATGGCAAGAATGTCCTTCCTCAGACTAGGAGACCAAAACTGCGCACAATATTCAAGGCATGGCTTCACGAAGCCACTGTATAACTGCAGCAAGACATCCATACTCTGATACTCAAATTCTCTCACTATGAAGGCCAGCATGCCATTAGGTTTCCTCACCACCTCTCCACTTGCATGCCAACCTTCAGCAACTGTTCCACCATGACACCTAGGTCTCATTGCACCTCACATTTTCCTAAACTGCCACCATTCAGATAATAATCTGCTTTCATGTTTTTGCCACCAAAGTGGACAACCTCACATTTATCAACATTATACTGCATTTGCCAAGTATACCTCCACTCAGCCAGTCTGTCCAAGTTATTCTGCAGACTCCTCACAGCATACACTGCCACCTAACTTAGCGTCATCTGAAAATTTGGAGATAAATTTTTTCGTTCAAATTGTTAATGTATATTGTGGACAGCTGGGATCCCAGCACTGAACCCTGTAGTACCCTACTCGTCACTGCCTGTCACTCTGAAAAGGACCCATTTATTCCAACTCCCTGCTTCCTGTCTGCTAACCAATTCTCTATCCATGTCAATACATTACCTCCGATGCCATGAGCTTTAATTTTCCTTATTAATCTCTTGTGTGGAACTTTGTCAAAAGCCTTTTGAAAGTCCAGATGCACAAATTCTATTGATTCACCCTTGTCCACTCTACTGGTCACACCATCAAAAGATTTTGAAGCTTAGGTGCCATAGGATTAACTAATTACTTGTTCAATATGTCCTATCAACTTCAATGATTGATGTACATGATCCCTAACATAACTCTGTCCCTAAAAACTCTTTCAAACTAGGCTATTCATTCTTTGTTTTTTAAAATTTATTCATTTGTGGGGTGTGGGCATAACTGGCTGGCCAGCATTTATTGCCCATCCCTAGTTGCCCTTGAGAAGGTGGCGGTGAGTTGCCTATTTGAACTGCTGCTGTCCATCTGCTGCAGGTTGATCCATAATGCCCTTAGGGATGGAATTCCAGGATTTTAACCCAGCAACAGTGAAGGAATGATGATATATTTCCAAGTCGGGTTGGTGAGTGGCTTGGAGGGAAACTTGAAAGTGTTCCCATGGTGTTCCCATTTATCTGTTGCCCGAGGATCTTTGGTGAATTTCTGCAGAGCATTTTGTAGATAATACACACTGCTGAGCATTGGTGGCGAAAGGAGTGGATGCTTATGGATGTACTGCCAATCAAGTGGGCTGCTTTGTCCTGGATGATGCCAGGTTTTTGAATGTTGTTGGGGCTGCACTCATCCAGGCAAATGGGGAGTAATTCCATCACACTCCTAACTTATGCGTTGTAGATGGTGGACAGGCTTTGGGAAGTAAGGGGGTGAGTTACTTGCCTCAGTATTCCTAGCCTCTGACATTCTCTTTTAGCTACTGTGCTTGGTGAGTCCAGTTGAGCTTCTGATCAATGATACCCCCCCAGCTGATAGTTTTGATCATGGGGGATTCAGTGATGGTAACACCATTGAATGTCAAGGGATGGTGGTTAGATTGTCTCTTATTGGTGATGGTCATAGCCTTGCATTTGTGTGGCATGAAAGTTACTTGCCACTTGTCAGCCCAAGCCTGGATATTGTTCAGATCTTGTTGCATTTGAACATGGATGGCTTCAGTATCTGAGGAGTCGTGAATGGTGCTGAACCTTATGTAATTATCGCTGAACATTCCCTCTTCTGACCTTATGATGGAGAGAAGGCCATTGATGAAGCAGCTGAAGATGATTAGGCCTAGGACACTATCCTGAAGAACTCCTGCAGAGATGTCCTGGAGCTGAGATAACTGACCTCCAACAACCATGACCATCTACCTATGTGTCAGGTATGACTCCAACCACTGCAGACATCAATCAAATGTTGACATTTCCCATCCCTTCTTTCAAAATGTATCTCCTATACATCCCTGTATTAAATTCCATCTGCTTCTTGTTTGTCCATTCTGCTCATTCTATCTATGTCCTGTTGTATTGAGATATCTCCCTCACTGTTTTCCATATCTCCACATTTGGTATCACCAGCAACTCTTAAAATTTTATTCTGTATTCCAATATCCTACTCATTTAATTGTAGCAAAAAAAAAGCAGTATCCCTGCACTGCTTCTTGGCAAGCACTACTACCAATTATCCTGCAGTCTGACAACCAATCAGCTACTGTGACTGACTGCTTCCTGCCCTTCATCCATTATTTTCATCCAAACTGCTAACACTGATTCCTACTCCATAAGACTCACATTTGTTACCCAGCCTTTTCTGTGATAGTTTGCTGAAGGCTTTAAAATTCATATAAATAGCTTCCACTACATTCCCTTAATTGACCTTCTCTAGCTGTTAGTTCATCAATAAACACATGGTGTGTCTTTTACAAATGTCTTCATCAACATGGTGTGTCTTTTACACATCCGCTTGGATCTCCTGAATGAATTCAAATCTCTCCTAGCATCTGCTTACTAATACTAATAGTTGGAAGGAATATAGTTCAATTTTCCCCATCTTTTACTTGAACATAATAGATTTTTGAATTGTACAAGGATACTGTATTGCACCAAATCACAAATGTATTTGGCACTGTGCTGTTAGTAAGAATATGGCCAGATAGGTTTTCTTGAGTCACACAAGATGACCTATCTCCTGTATTTTAGTTCTTGCCCCTTCCCCTACCTCTCGGAACAATAATTGGATTTTCCTTGCCCTCACTTGCCCCCACATGTCTCTGCATTCACTGCTGCTTCCAGCATGATGCCGCCATCAAATGCATCTAGCCCTCCCCTCCCCTCAGCATTCTGCAGGGACCCACAATGACTCTCTTGTCCACTCCTCCATCACTCCTTACACTCCCTATCTCCTGCTTAGCATCTTCCCAAGCAATTGCAGAAGGTGTAACATTTACCCATTCACCTCCTCACTGTCTGATGACCCAACACACCTTCCAAGTAAAGCAGCATTTCAATTTTATTTCTTTCAATCTAGTCTACGTATTTGCTGCTTACAGTGCAGTCTCCTTTATATTACGAGACTTGGTAACCTCTTTGTGGAACACCTCCACTGTATCTGTAGGAAGGACCCAGTGGCATGGGTGGCACGGTGGCTCAGTGGTTAGCACTGCTACCTCACAGCGCCAGGGACCTGGGTTCAATTCTACCCTCGGGTGACTGTCTATGTGGAGTTTGCACATTCTCCCGTGTCTGCGTGGGTTTCCTCCGGGTACTCTGGTTTCCTCCCACAATCCAAAGATGTGCAGGTTAGGTGGCTTGGCTAAGCTAAATTGCCTGTAGTGTTCAGGGGTCTGTAGATTAGGTGGGTTATAGGGAGATGGGTCTGGGTGGGATGCTCCAAGGGTCAGTGTGGACTTGTTGGGCTGAAGGGCCTGTTTCCACACTGGAGGGATTCTATGATTCTATGACCCCAACCTCCCAGTTACATACCATTTCAATAAACCAACTTGGTCTCATCCAACATTTCTGTCCTGAGCCTGCTGCATTGTTCCAATGAAGTACAACACAAACTCAAGGAACAACACTTCATTTTCTGCCTGGGCATTTTACATCCTTCTAGACTCAATATTGAGTTCCAAAACTCAGAGTACGACCTATGTCCTTCATTTTGATCACACCACCCGCCTACTCTCTCAGCTGTGTTTCGTTTGTGTGTTGATGGCTTTGCTCACAGCAGAGGGGACCCTGTTCTTCCTTTACATACTTATTGTTTAAAGCTATTTTATATCTCTATCTCTCCTTTACCATGATTAGGATAACCTTTGTCTTTTGCACTGGGCACCCTCACCATCTGTTCACTGCTCCTCTGCCTCTGTCAAAAGAAGAGTCTTACCAGACTCAAAACTCTATTTCTCTCTCCAGAGATGCTGCCAGTCCTGCTGAGTTTCTCCAGCACTTTGATCTTTTTAATTTCAGATTTCCAGCATCTGCAGTATTTTACTTTTAATAAAATGACAAGGCAGTGTTTGATATACAACAACTTCATGACAATATTTGGATATTTTTTCATGATGATTGTTTCTAAAAAGTTATCCACCTCTAATGTTAAACTGACCAGCCTAAAAGGCTTTAAAGTCCTTGGTACACCACATCAAAAGCATAACCGTCATCAATTCTCTCTGTTAATGCTTGAATAAACTCCTCCAAATTAGTTAAACATAATTTGCCCTTAAGAAATCCAGGCTGGCTCTACTTAATTATTAACCCATATTTACCTAGGTGAGTGTTAATTTTGACCAACCCAGTTGTTTGTCAAAGCTTAAAATGTAGGACAAATCCAACCCAGCCAATTCTTCCATCACTCTTCTCTTGTTCATCAGTAAAGTGATGGAAGGTGTCAGCACCTGCTCAGCAGTATCCTGCTCAATGATGCTCAGTTTGGGTTCTGCCAGGGTCACTCAGTTCTTGACCTCATTACAGCCTTGTTTCCAAAGCCTGTCCACCATCTACAAGGCAGAAATCAGGAGTGTGATGTAATACTCCCCACTTGTCTGGATGGGTGCAGCTCCAACAACACCCAAGAAGTTTGACACAATCCTGGACAAAGCAGTCCACTTGACTGGCATGACATCCACAAACATTCACTCCCTCCACCACTGAAGCTCAGTAACAGCAGTGTTTGTTATCTACAGGTTGCACTGCAGAAATTCACTGAAGTTCCTTAGACAGCACCTTCCAAACCAATACTCACTTCTATCTAGGACAAAGGCAGCAGATACAAGGGAATATTACCATCCGAAAGTTCTCCTCCAAACTCACCATCCTGACTTGGAAATACATCACTGTTCCTTCACTGTTGCTGGGTCAAAATCCAGGAAGTCCCTTCTTAACAGTATTGTGGGTCAACCCACAGCACATGGAGTGCAGCAGTTCAAGATGATATCTCACCACCACCTTCTCAAGGGCAACTAGGAATGGGTAATAAATGCTGGCTCAGATAGTGATGCCCACATTCCATGAAAAGATAAATATGAATCTGATCTGGACTGTAATCGGTGCACTTAGTCCAAATGTAATTTGGTGCACTCTCAGACGCAGTCCAGAAGCTGCAATCTGATGCTGTATGCAACCAAATGTAATCTGGCACTGTCTCGATCCAGCCACAAGTCCATAATTAGAAGCAGTCTGGAGATATGAGTAATCCACAATTCAACGCCTCAGATAGTTCACGATCAAACGCTAGCCTCAATCAGGCAGCCTGCCATGAAGTGCAGTCTGCACCCATGCTCTGTCTTATTTCAGGAACAATGTTTAAACATACGTCTCTCTATCTGTATGGTTAACCCAGATCCAGACCACATGGAACTGAACACTCCTCCTGTCTCATGAGCTTTTTTGTTGCTATCTGTCCCTTGTAGGCTGTTGAACAGAGAAGTACATGACAACTGGTCAGTTGAATTCCATAAAACCAAAGCACTAAATGGACCCAGGACTGGCCTTTAATTGACTCTGTCTTGTGTGGGGCAATATCTCCATTAGGTAATATCCAAAACAGTACAACCATGTGATTAGCTCTGTATTTCATTACATTCCAGATGTATATAGCTGTGGAATTAGCTGCGTATATCATCACAATCTAGATTAATGCATAAATTGGATTAACTGTGTATGTTATTGCAATCAATGAATTTATTGATCTGCCTCATATGAAGACAGTCCTCTGGTTGGAAGATATGGATGTGACACATGTTGTTAGCCAGAGTTGAATAGCAGCATTGACTCCCCCTTGCCCTGTGTCCCCACTCACTCTGGTGGTCCCGAGTCGTCCTCTCTCTGTGTTGCTCTTGCTGGCTTTCCCCATTGGCTTTTTTGGCTGGGCTGGGACTTTGCCGAAGAAGATGTAATTGACGAAGGCATACTCCAGCAAGGCGAGGAACACAAAGACAAAGCAGCCCATCAGGTAGATGTCGATGGCTTTAACGTAAGGGATCTTTGGGAGGGTTTCCCGTAGGTGGGTGTTGATAGTGGTCATGGTCAGTACAGTGGTAACACCTGGATCAGAGGTAAGGTGAAGGATGGTTAAAGGTTTCAGACAAACTTTGAATGTTTGGTTAATCCTGCAGTCGGAAGGAGCTGGGTAAATGTATTGCCCATGTGGTACAGAGCTGTATAGAGCAGCTTTCTCTGGGTTCAATCCCAATGCCAGCATAGCAATCATTTGAGGCACCACAACTGAGTACTGTTCCTTGGCCAAGGACAGGAAAGGAGCAAAAGATCTTACATTTCAATAGCAGCCTTCAAGACTTCAGATAAGTCATGGTGCTTTAGAGACAAGGGACCACTTTCCAAGCAGCGATTGACTGTTTAAATATTGGAAACTGACATTATTGGGACTCCCTTTAGCAATCATTATTCAAGTCCTTGACCATGTATGGGAGTGGACAGTGGTGTAGAAATAATGGGACAAATGGTCTCCTTCTGTCCTATAACTATTCTGGGATTATGGGGTGGACAGAGATCAAGCAGCAAGCGTATAATGGGATTTTCTTGAGCGAAAAGTCCAGTGCCTGCGCCCACTCCCCCTCACTTGGTGATCCTGATCATATAGGATGTGGGGATGGTGCAGGTTTGATTGGTTGTAACTCACCAAGGGCCACTCGTGCAGCTGAAGCATCGTAATTAATCCAGAAAGAGACCCAGGACAGGATGGTGATGAGGATTGATGGCATATATGTCTGCAGAATAAAATAGCCAATGTTCCTCTTGATTCGAAAACTGAGCGACAGGCGAGGGTATGAGCCTGGCAGCAACACAACATGAAATAATCAGGAGGCTGGTAAGTGTTACACACAGACTAAGCTTCCTCTACACTGTCCCCATCAAACACTCCTAGGACTGGGACAGCCCAGGGTTAAGATACAGAGTGAAGCTCCCTCTACACTGTCTCCATCAAATACTCCCAGAACAGGTACAGCACAGGGTTAGATGCAGAGTAAAGCTCCCTTTGCAATGCCCCATGCAACACTCCCAAGGACAGGGACAGCACGGAGTGAGATAACATAATAAAGCTCCCTCTGCTTTTAAACTGAAATTAAATCTCTCTCTCCACTGACACCAGCAAAATTTGAATATAAAGGAGCTCAGTCATATTTTTTGGGATGTAGATGATGTGCATCTGTAAACAATAACGTAAATCTTCCAACATCTTACCTGTCGCAAATACGACCTCCTTTGATAGCAAGTTCAGTTTGACAATTGTGAACTGAGGAAGTTCAAGGTTGTCTACCCCAGTCACTGCTGCATCGTCACCTTCCCAGTGAAACACAATGTCATCTGTCGTGTATCCATCTGCAAAGACAGTGTAGAAAAAGTCAGCAGACGATGTTCCTCGGTGGTAATAGGTCCACTGTGTGCAGTACAGCAGATATTAAACAGAGTCTATCACTCAGGATATGGCAGCTTTTATCTTAAATACCCAAAAACGCTAGTGTCCTACCAATGACTTTTCATACAGTAGATTCACAACAACGTGGGAAAGGTGGAAGAAAGAGCTATTTGAATAGCTATATATGATCACAATCCATAAGTCTCCATCCTCAAGGGCAAGCTAGACTGCTGACTCTATTAATGAGGTGAGCTAATAGGTGGCAGGTAAAGTTCAAAGAAATTTGATATGATATTCTTTGGTATAAAGATCACGAGTGACAGTATACAATAATGGCATCTATTCTAAAGGGTGTGCAGAGCAGAGAGGTGAAAAGTATATAAGCTATTAAAAATGTCAGGACAGTTCTGTAGCACAGTTAATAAAACATGGTTTTCTCATCTATATGAATGGGACACAGAGGTAAATAAGGAAGTGGTGCGAGAGGGTGTGCGGGAGGGAGTGTGGGAGGGAGTGAGGGAGGGAATGTGGGAGGGGATGTGGGAGGGTGTGCAGGAGCGTGTGCGTGAGAGAGTGCAGGAAGGAGTGCGAGAGTGTGGGAGGAAGTATGGGAGGGTGACCGGGAGAGTGTGCGGGAGGGAGTACAGGATGGTGTGCAGGACGGAGTCAGGGAGGGAGTCCTGTAGGGAGCGCACTGGAGGTTATGGCCTCGTGGTATGAAGGAATTCAGAGATCCTGGCAATATTCTGCGAGCCCGGGTTTGAATCCCACCACCAAAGATGATGGAATTTCAATTCACAAAATCTGCAATCAAAAGTTTAGTGACCACCATGTAACTATTGTCAGTTGTTGTATATACCTGTTTGGTTCCTGAATGTCCTCAGGGATGAAGAGCTGCTGTCCTTACCTGGTCTGACTTTCATGTGACTCCAAACCTGCAGCAATGTAGTTTACTCTTAACCACTCCCTGAATTGGATTTAGAGCCAAAAAACTGCTAATAAGTTTCAAAAAAAAGGAATGAAACTTGATGGACCACCTGGCATCAATATAGCCACCCAAAACTACAATGGAAAAATCCTCCTCACTTATATGTAGGGGCTAGTGTCAAAATTAGAAGAGCTGTCTCACAGACTAGTCAAACACGAGCCTGACATAGATATACTCACAGAATTGTACCTTACAGACAAAGTTCCAGGCATGACCATCACCATCCCTGGATATGTCCTGTCCCATCGGCAGGACAGACCCAGCAGAGGTGTTGGCACAGTGGTATACAGTCAGGAGGGAGTTGCCCTTGAAAATCCTCAACATTGACTGGTGACTCCATGAAATCTCTTGGCTACAGGTCAAATAAGTGTAAGGAAACCTCCTGCTGATTACTATGTACTATCCTCCTTTGGCTAATGAATCAGTACTCCTCCATGTTGAACAACACTTGGAGGAAGCACTGAGGGTGGGAGGCGTACAAAATGTACTCTGGGTGGGGGATTTCAATGTCCACTACCAAGAATGGCTCAGCAACAGTACTAGCCCGGTAATACAGGACATAGCTGCTAGACTGGTTCTGCAGCAGGTGGCGAGGGAACTTACAAGAGGGATAAACATACTTGATCTCATCCTTACCAAACTGCTGGTTGCAGATGCATCTGTCCATGACAGTATTGGTAAAAGTGGCCACCATGCAATCCTTGTGGAGATGAAGTCCCGCCTTCACTTTGGGATTACCTTCCATCGTATTATGTGGCACTGTCACTGTGAGAAATGGAACAGACATCGAACAGATCTAGCAACTCAAGACTGGGCATCCATGAGGTGTTACGGGCCATCAACAGCAGCACAATTGGACTCCAGCACAATCTGCAACCTCATGGCCTGGAATATCCTCCACTCAACCATTACCAACAAGCCAGTGGATCAAGCCTGGTTCAAAGGACAGGGCATGCCAGGAGCAGCACCAGGCATTCCTGAAAATGATTTGTCAACCTTGTGAAGCTACAAAACAGGACCACTTGTATGCCAAACAGGATAAGCATCAAGTTCTAGACAAAGCTAAGAAATCCCACAGCCAACTGATCAGATCTAAGCTCTGTAGTCCTGCTATATTCAGTCATGAATGGTGAACAATTAAATGATTCACTGGAGGAGGAGGGTCACAAATATTCCCATCCTTGACGATGCAAAAGTCCAATGTAAACGATAAGGCCGAAACATTCACAGGAATCTTCAGCCAAAAATGCCAAGTGGATGATCCATCTTGACTTCCTCTAGTGGTCACCAGATCAAAGATACCAGTCTTCAGCCAATTTGATTCATTCCACACATCAAGAAACAGTTTCAGGCACTGGATACTGCAAAGGCTATGGTCCCTGACAACATTCCAGCAATAGTACTGACAACTTGTGCCTCAGAACTTGTCACACCCCTGGCCAAGCTCTTCCAGAACAATTACAACACTGGAATCTAACCGACAATGTGGAAAATTGCCTAGGTATGCCCTATACACAGAAAGCATGACAAATATCATCCAGCCAATTACTGCCCCATCAGTCTAATCTCGGTCATCAGTAAAGTGATGGAAGGTGCTACCAAACAGCTCCTGCTCAGCAATAAGCTGCTCATTGATGCCCAGTTTGGGTTCCACCAAGGCCACTCAGCTCCTGACCTCATTACATCCTTGGTTTAAACATCGACAAAAGAGGTGAATTCCAGAGGTGACCCCTTGACATCAAGGCTGCGTTTGACAGAGTGTGGCATCAAAGAGCCCTAGAAAATCTGGAGTCAATTAAAATCAGAGGAAAAACTCTTCCCTGTTACACTCATACCTGGCACAAAGAAGATGGTTGTTCAAGATCAGTCGTCTCAACTCCAGGAGATTTCTGCAGGAGTTCCTCAGGGTAGTGTCCTCGGCTCATCTTCAGCTGCTTCATCAATGACCTTCACTCCATCATAAGGTTAGGAGTAGGGATGCTCGCCAATGATTGGACAATGTTCAGCTTCATTCATAACTCCTTATAAACTGAAGCAGTTTCCCTTGGTGAAGTGATTAACGATGAGGGCATACATTTTGGGTGAGGGGCAGAAGGTTTAGATGAGATGTGAAGAAAAATCTTTTTATGCAGAGGATAGTGGGAATCTGGAACTCACTGCCCATAAGAGTGGTAGGGGCAGAAACCCTCATAACATTTAAGAAGTATTTAGATGTATTGTTATGATGCCAAAGCTTACAAAGCTTTGGGGCAAATGCTGGAAAATGGGATTAAAACAGTTTTTTAACCAGCATAGACATGAGGGCCAAAGGGCCTTTTTCTGTGCTGTAGACTTCTATGACTCTCATACTCTAGATCTTCACAAGCAGAAAGACCTGGACAATATCCAGGTTTGGGCTGACAAATGGCAAGTAACATTCACAACATTCAAGTGTCAATCAATGACCATCTCTAACAATGGAGAATCTAACAATTGCCCCTGGATATTCAAAGGCATTGCCACCATTAAATTCCCCACACTTAACATCTTTGGGGTTACCATTGACCAGAAACTGAACTGGACTCACTGTATAAATACAATGGCTACAGAACCAGGTCAATGGCTAGGAATCCTGTAGCGTGTAATTCTCTACCTGACTTCCCAAAGCCCATCCACATCGACAAGGCACAACTCAGGAGTGTGATATTATATTCCCTACTTGCCTGGATGAATGCAACTCCAACAGCACTCAAGAAACTTGACAGTATCCAAGACAAAGCAGCCTGTTTGACTGGCAAACCAACATTCATTCCCTCCACCACCAATGCTCAATAGCAGCTGTGTATACTATTTACGAGACACACTGCAGAAATTCATCAAGGCCCCTTAGACAGCACCTTCAAAACCCATGACCACTTCCATCTAGAAGAACAAGGATGGCAGATACATGGGAACACCACTCTCTGCAAATTCCCCTCTCAGTCACTCACCATTCTAACTTGGAAATACATCTCTGTTCCTTCATTGTCACTGAGTAAAAATTCTGGAACTCCCTCCCTAACATCACGCTATGAGTCCCTGTACCAAGTGGACTGTAGCAGTACAAGAAGGCAGCTCAGCACCAGTTTTTCTAAGGCAATTCAGGATGAGAGATAAGTGTTGGCCCAGCCAGTGAACCCGTGCACTTGAATGAGAAAAGGACAGGTTTATGATGGTGATTTCAAGGATAAGAAACTCCAATTAAGATGATAGATTGGAGAATTTAGGACTGTTTTCAATGTTGAAGAGGAGACTGAGAGGAGATATGATTGAAGCTATCAAAATCATTAGACATCTGTCAGACTAAACAGGGAGAAACTGTTCCCATTTGCAAAAGTATCAAGAATGAGAGGGTACAGCTATAAGATAATTTGTAAAAAATGTAAATGTGATTTGAGAAAAAAAAAACATTTTCACACAGGAAAGTAGTTAATGTCTGGAATGCCCTGCCTGCTTGTGTGTTAGAGGCAGTTTTAACTGAGGGTATTAGATGATTATTTCAACAGAAACAATGTGCAGAGTGATGGGGAAAAGGTGGGAGAATGGTACTGAGTCCAAATGCTGTTTCAGAAAGCCAGTGCAGACACAATGGACCAAATAACTTCTTTTTGTACTGTGACAATTCTGTGATTATGTAATCAACAGTGGGAATGACTGTAACGGAACTTGGACATGGAGACTGGTAAGATGTTAGTGTTTGATCAAAATTTTAAAGGCCTCTGTCAAGTTTGTTCCAAGCTTTCTCATTTCTTGAGAAAAGAGCATTGGATTTTTCAATTTTCCAGTTGTACGCTTCCAGATTTTAAACGGGCACATGTATCTGTGCATGGGTTTATCCATGGATAGATGTGTGAATGTGCTACTGTTTAGGTCCATATATATCTATCTGTGAACAGATCTGTGTGTGCCTGCTGCAATAAAATTGTCTGATTTATTAATAAGTATTTTAATATCATTTTCTGTAAGTTTGGATTCTTTGAATTCGATGCTAAACCTATGAGGTGTCTTTGTGTTTCAATTTAACAAATAGCTTTTAAAAACCACAATACCCATAATTCCAAGTAAGACAAAGCTATCCAGAGTTCCTCGGGCACTACCCAGAGGGCTTAGTAGGAATACTTTCCAGACTCTGACTTTCATTTTGAGCCTGTGCTGGAAAGTGGTTTGAGAGAGAAATACGTATTAAGTAACAAGGTCTGAGCAATGTTTCTAAGCAAAGGAGTTTAAAGTAATAAACTAATTTTAGATAAAGAAGTTACTATTAATCCCAGATTGGGTCTTGGGATACAGTCAGTGGAATAAAAGTGAAGTTTATGAAGATTTTTAAAATAAGAAAATGTATTGAAGCTACTTCAGCACTGGAAGAAAACTAAGTCAACTGCATAATAATTAAGCAAGAACTAATTATGGTTCTGGCAGGTAAGTTGAAATTTTAATTCTGTCAGGCCCATCGAATTATTTGAAAAGAAGTCTCTCTCTCTCTTCCCCACCCCCACCTTGAAAATGAACTGGAATGGGTCTTGCTAGAGGTGTTCTTAAAATTGCAACAATGTTTATAAGGTGTACCAGGATGTACAAATTCTAATATAAAGCTGTTGTTTCTATTTAATCTATAATGGTGGCTTGGGTCATTCCTACTGTGTGTTTAAAAAACCTTTGTATTTGTTTTATAAGGGAATAGAGTTTTCTTTCTTATGTTCACTTCTGTCATTAATATATTTATTGCTAAAACAAAAGCTGCAACATTGTGTGCTTGTGCTTCAATAAAATAATCACTGATAACAAAAACCTAAAATAAAATTCCCCAGTCCTGTCTACTCTCCTGTCAAGAATCTGCCTTGTCGGGTACTCAGATCACTGGACATTAACCCCATAAGAAAAATGGTCTAGATTCTAATACGGTTTATAAATCTGTGTGTTTGTGTATATCTCTGTATATCAGTGTGTATTTGTGGATCTGTGTCTGTGTGTGTGTTTGTGGTTTGAGTATCGATGCTTCTGTGTACACGTAGTACACGTATAACTGTCTGTATGCAGAGATCTGCGTGGGTGTGTGTTCCTTTGTAGGCCTGTTTGTCTGGCATGTGGCTGTGCTTGTTGGGGGTTGGGTAGTGGGAAAAGTTGGAGAAGGGGATCTCTGTGGAAAGAGCTGTCTATAGGGGTGTGACAGTGTGAGAGAGTGTGTCTGTGTGTTTGTGGATGCATGTGGGTATCTGTAGGCATTGTATGTAGTTGTAACTTTGAGAATATTCATGTTTGCGTTTACAAGGCTATCTGTGGATATGTCTGTAATAAGACTGTGTATATGTGTATACGTCTGTATGTGAATCTATGTGTTTTTTTTTATCAGTATGTGGGTTTGTGTATGACATTATTCCCCTTGATATTTACTGTGCTATTGTCCACTGAGCACCTGATCATTTGGTGAAGTGCCTAATGATAGAATACCTTTGAAAAGGAGGGGAGTGGGAGGAAAAGAAATTGGATCCTTGTGATCCAGAAAGACTGCGTGCTGAAACCCTCAGACCAGTGTGAGTGGATGAAAAAAAACCCTGAATGAAATGGTAATTATTTGCGTCAAACTTACAGCTCTCTATTTCCAAAGTACAGTTCTGCTCATCCAGGGGGTATCTGCGCAAGTCCATCATACAAGCTGCAGTGGTGGTGATCCTAAACATAAGAAAACCGGAAATAACAGTTAGTATGTGCTCTCATCAGGTCAGCCAGAATCCCATCTAGTCACACCTCAGTCTATTAGGCTGTTCATACTGAGCATAAATACATAAATCCTATCACCCTGTTCTAAAGACATCAACATGGAAGCCCCCCTGTGGTCATGACTCTGCCTAACAATTGCTGTTCCATTAATTGGCAATTGTTGAGGGACGTCTGACGGTGCCTTAAGGTAAAGGTGTTGCCAGTTTGGCAGGATAGCTATTGTCCAGTATAGAACTGGGATCTCCCTTGCTCTTTTCTGATTTCCACCTCTACCAGAGAGGGAGACTGAGACTGGGTTTAACATCTCACTTGAAAGACAGATAGGCACTCTCATTGATTTTGATTGTCGAGACGAACTGATAAGAAAGACAATGTCAGGGAGGGTCTGCAAGGGGACAATGGAAACTAAAGCAGATTTGGGGAAGACGTTGGGTTCTTCAATTTTTAACAAAGAAGTTCCGTTAATTGAAACAATCAAGGGCAGAACAGTCCAGGTTGTCTAACTTACCAGACCCCTCAAGCACATTTCACCAGATTACTCAACAAACTTCATGAGATCTTCAACCTAATCTCACTAGATTCCTCAAATATATCTCACCAGATGGATTAACACAACCTCGCTTGTTGCTTCAAACATATCTCACTAGATCATATACAACCACCTTCTCAAGACCAATTAGGAACAGGGAACAAATGCTAGTCTTCCCTGTGACACCTATATCCCACGAAAGAATAAAGAACGATGTTTGGATGACTGGCACTGTTTAAGTGTGGATAATTCGCATGGTCCAGATGGCTTGTAGCTCAGGTTTCTGAAGAATGTGTGTTGGAGATAGCAGAGGGGTTTAGCATAATCATCCAATTTTCCCTAGATACAGAGGGGTGGGGGTGCCAAAGGATTGAGGTTGACATATGATTGCCAAATATTCAAGAAAGCATGGGCAGCACGGTGGCTCAGTCGTTAGCACTGCTGCCTCACAGTGCAGGGACCCGGGTTCAGTTCCAGCCTTGGGTGACTGTCTGTGTGGAGTTTGCACATTCTCCCTGTGTCTGTATGGGTTTCATCCAGGTGCTCCAGTTTCCTCCCACAGTCCAAAAATGTGCAGGCTAGGTGGATTGGCCATGCTAAATTGCGCATAGTGCCCTGGGATGTTTAGGTTAGGCAGGTTATAAATGGGAAATTAGGGGAATGGGTCTGGGTGGGATGCTCTTCAGAGGGGCGGTGTGGACTTGTTGGGCTGAATGGCCTGTTTCCACACTGTACAGATTCTATGAATTTTCTATGATAAAAAAGCATACAAGGACATTCTTAGTAACTAAAGTCCAGTCAGTTTAACATCAGAGGTTTTTAAGGTTTTAGACACAATAATGAAGGAAAAAAAACTCACACTTGGAGAGGTTTCCATGAATGGAGGAGAGCCAGCAAGGAAAAGGCAGAAGGTTTTTGACTAATCTTGTTGAATATTTTGATGAAGTAAAAATCAATGTTGATGAAGGGAATGTGGTGGATGTTGTCTGTATGGATTTTAAGAAATTGTATGACTAAGTACCACATAAAAAGATGATTAACAAGATTGAGAACTATGGAATAGATGCATCAGTGCCCAACTGGATAACAAACTGGATTAAGAACCGGAAACAGCGAGTTGTAGTAAATGTTGTTCAAACTACAGGATGATAGGTAGAGGTGTTCGCCAAGGGGCAGGGTGAGATCTAGGCTTCTCTTCCTACAATTAATTGATTTGGAAATTGGAATACAGAATAGCATCTTGTAATCTGCTGATGATAACAAACATGTGGTAAACAATGAAGCTGATACCAATCAACTACAACGGACATAGATTGGCATAATGGGAAGACAAGAGGCAGATGGAGTTTAACACAGTGAATTATATGGTGATGCACTTTTGGTGGAACAGGCAGGGAGAGGATATACAGAATGAATGGCCAAGCTCTAAGCAGCTTGCAGGTGCAGAGGACTTACATTGATCATTGAAGGTGACAGGACATTTTGAGAGAGTGTTTAACAAATCCTATAGAATCTTGGGCTTCATAAATCAAGATATTGATACAAAACCTGAACCTTTATAAAGATCTGGTTCATCCCCAGATAGACCATTGTGTTCAATTCTGGTCCTGACATTTCAGTAGGGACATGAAGGATCTTGACAGGGTGCAGGGAGATGTACCAGAATATGTCAGGGATCAGAGATTTTAATGACAAGGCTCAGTTGGAGAAGCTGAAGTTGATCTCCATGGAGTGAAGGAGATTGAGAGGAGACTTGAGCAAGGTGGACAAAATAAGGACAAGTTTGGAATACAGGAAACAGGGCAAAATGTGCTATTTGGTTCCATTGAGCTTTAAAGTCTTAAATGGAAGCCCCCTTATTCTGAGACAGTGTCCTTTGAAACCCCTCACCTCAGAAATGCTAACAATCAAAGATATTCACATTGGCTGATAGTACAAGGAATCCATGACAAATTTAAGGTTTTGGACAAAAGGTTCAGGGAAGATGGGAGGAAGAACACATTTGCAAATGTACAATTCAGGAGCATGAGTTTGCCATTCAGTCCCTTGAGCCTGCTTAACTATTCAATAAGATCATGGCTGATCTGATTGTAATCTTAACCAAATTCTTGATAACCCATGATAACCTTTCATCCCCTTCTATCCCTCTGCCTTAAAAATATTAAGGCCTCTGTTTCCACAGCCTTTTGAGGGAGAGAGCTTCAAAGTCTCATGACTATGGGAAAAGCCGTGCCTCATCTCTGTTTTAAATGAGTAAGCCGTGATTTATAAACATTGAATCCTCATTCTACATTCTCCCAAAACAGGAAACATCCTGTACACATCTACCCTGCCACTACCTTTCAGGATGTTGTAATTTTCAGACAAGTCACCTCTTACTCTTTTAAAACCCGATAGATACCAGCCAAGCCTGTCGAACGTTTTGTTATAAGATAAACTGCCTATCCCAGGTATTAGTCTCATAAACCTTCTCTGAACTTCTCTACTGCCTCTAACACATTTATATCCTTCCTTAAGTAAGGAAACCAATGCTGTACACAACACTCCAGATGCAGTGTCACTGGTGCCTTGCTTCATTGAAGCATAAGCTGTTACTTTTATGTTCAATTTTCCCCGAGTTACATGATTATATTCTATTAGCTTTCATAATTACATGTCTTACCTGCATAATAACCTTTAACAATTCAGCAAGTTTAGCTACCATGCCTTCATTCTCTGCATTGAAGCAATTTATATCAATTATAAGTAGTTGAGCTCACTGCACCAATCCCTGTGGCACACCATGTTATATCTTGCTAACCGAAAAAATGATTCATTGATTCATATTTTTTCCTTCCTATTAGCTAGTCAATCTCCTATCCAAGCCTATATGTTACTCCTGACACCATGAGCTTTTATTTTTGACAGTAATCTTTCATGTAGCAAATGCCTTCTGAAAATTGAAATATAGTACATCCACTGGTTCCCCTTTACCCACTGCCCAAGTTACTTCCTCAAAGGATTCAAATAGATTGGTTAAATGCGAGTTCCCGTCCACAAAACCATATTGATTACCTTGATCTTTCCCATTAGCCCTGTTTTAATCTTTTAATGTTGTTAATAATAGCCTCTAATGTTTTCCTTTTGATAGATGCCAAGCGAACAATCCTGTAGTTCCTGATTTCTGTCTCCATCTCATTTTGCATAAAGGAGTTATATTCTGTCTTCCAATTTAATGGGACATCCCCAAATTGAGGGAGACTTGAAAAATTAAAACCAACATATCAACTATCTCACTAGTGACTTCTTTTAAAGCTGGAGGATGAAGTCTGTCAGGATCCAAGCACTTGTCAACTCTCAGTTCCAACAATTTACTCAGTACCACTTGTTTGCTGATTATGATTTTCCTGAGTTCCTGCCTCCCTTTCATTTCCTGATTTATTGCTGTTTCTGGGTTGTTACTTGTATTTGCTATAGTGAAGACTGATGCAAAATATCTGCTAAATTCATCTGCCATTTCCTTACTTCCATCGTTAATTCTATAGACTTATTTTCTATAAGATCAATGTTCATTCTGTTAACTTTTTCTCTTGAAAGTACTTTTAGAAACTCTTATTATCTACATTTATTTTTCTAGCTAGCGTTCAGTCATGTTTTTTCTAACTTTTTCGTCTCCCTATTAATTTTTTAATTATTCATTGACTTTTTAAAATATTACATCCAATCTTCTGACCTTCCACCCATCTTTGCACAATTAAATGTTTTTTCTTTAAGTTTGTTAACTTAAGTTTTAAGTTAACAGATGAACAGTTGGGAACATAGGCTCAGGAATGGGTATAGATGTGATAGGAAGGATGGGCGGGGTAGCAAGAGAAGAGGGGAAGTGGCGTTTTTGGTTAGGAATAATATATGGCTGTACTTAGGGAGGATATTCCTGGAAGTACATCCAAGTTATTTGGTTAGAACTGAGAGATAAGAAAGGGATGATTACCTTATTGGGATTGCATTCTAGGCCCCCCCAGTAGTCAGTGAGAATTTGAGATGCAAATTTGTAAGGAGACCTCAGTTATCTGTAAGAATGATAGGGTTGTAATAGTAGGAGATTTTAACTTTCCAAACTTCGATTGGGACTGCCATTGTGTTAAGGTATTGCATTGAGAGGAATTTAAGTGTGTACAAGAAAAATTTCTTCAGTATTTGGATGAATGTGCAAAACTTGACCACCTCTTTGGAAATAAGGCGGGGTAAGTGACTGAGGTGTCAGTGGGGGAGCACTCTGGGGCCAGTGATCATAATTCTATTAGTTTTGAAATAGTCGTGGAAAAGGATAGACCTGATCTGAGTTAAGTTCTAAATTGGACTAAGACTAATTTTGACGGTATTAGGCAAGAACTTTCAAAATTTGATTGGGTGAGGCTATTCACGAGTAAAGGGTTGGTTGGTAAGTGGGAGGCCCTCAACACTGAGATAATGAGTGTCCAGAGGCAATATGTTCCTAATAGAATGAAAGGCAAGACTGGTAGATGTAGGGAATGCTAAATGACTCGAGAAATTGAGGCTCTGGTCAAGAAAAATAAGGAATCATATGGCAGGTATAGATAGCTGGGATCAAGTGAATTCGTTGAGGAGGATAAGGGCAGTAGGGATATACTTTAAAAGGGAAATTAGGAGGGCAAAAAGGGAACATGAGATAGCTTTGGCAATCAGGGTTAAGGAGAATCCAAAGGAATTGTACAAATACAATAAGGTCAAAAGAGTAACTAGGGAGAAATTAGGGCCCCTTAAGGATCAACAAGGCTGTCCGTTCGGATACAAAATTGACCTGAAGGTAGGAGACAGTGTGGTGGGGGGCGGGCTGGGGGAGCTGAGTGGGTGGGGTTGCTTTTCAGACTGGAGGCCTGTGCCACAAGGATCAGTGCTGGGTTCACTGCTTTTTGTCATTTATTTAAATGATTTGGATGTGAATATAGGAGGAATGGTTAGTAAGTTTGCAGATGACACCAAAATTGGTCGCGTAGCGGACAATGAAGAAGGTTGTGTCAGAGTACAACAGGGCCTTGATCTGATGGGCAGAGGAGTGGTAGATGGAGTTTAATTTAGATAAATGTGAGGTGTTGCATTTTGTTAAGGCAAATTGGGGCAGGACTTGTACATTTAATGGTAGGGTCCTGGAGAGTGTTGTTGAATATACAGACCTTGGGATGCAGGTTCATATGTCCTTGAAGGTGGAGTCACAGGTAGACTGGGTAGTGAAGCAGGCGTTTGGAATACTTTCCTTCATTGGTCAGTGATTTGAGTAAAGGAGTTGGTATGATATATTGTAGCTGTGCAGGATATTGGTTAGGCCATTTTTGGAATCTCGTATTCAATTCTTATCTCCCAGCTATAAGAAATATTTTGTTAAACTTTAAAAGGCGCAGAAAAGATTGCAAGGATGTTGCCAGGGTTTGAGCTATAGGGAGAGGCTAAGTAGGCTGGGGCTATTTTCCCTTGGAGCGTGAGAGGCTGAGGGGTAACGTTATAGAAATTCATAAAATCCTGAGGAGCATGGATAGAGTGACTAGCCAAGATCTTTTTCCCAGGGTAGGACAGTCCAAAACTAAAGGGTTTGAGGTGAAAGGGGAAGATTTAAAAAGGACCTAAGGGGTAACTTTTTCATGCATAGAGTGGTGCATCGAATGAACTGCCAGAAGACGTGACGAGACTGATACAATTACAATATTTAAAAGGCATCTGGATGAGTACATGAATAGGAAAGGTTTAGAGGGATATGGGCCAATGCTGGCAAATGGGGCTAGATTAACTTAGAATATCTAGTTAGCAAGAATGATTCGGAGCAAAGGGTCTGTTTCTGTACTGTTCAACTCTGTGACTCCATGACTCACAACTACCTTCTATACACTTCCTCACACCCTGCTTCCTGTTCATTCTTCCATTCCATTCCCCCAGTTTCCTTATCTCTGTCATATCTGTTCTGTTGAATACGAGTTCTGAAGAACAGTTACTGGACTAGAAATGTTACCTCTGTTTTTCTCTCCCAAATACTGCCAGACCTGCTGAATTTCTCCAGCATTTTGTAATTGTTTCAGATGTCTAGCATCTGCTGTATTTTGCTTTTAAAGGAACTGTAGACATCAGTCATTGAGAAAATGCTGCAATTTAGTATTCTGGAGCTTTAACAATGCCTTGAAACTGTCACAGTGCAATCAAATAGTGTCAGAGTGGTTTTAAAAAAGGGGAATTCTGTTTGTTTAATTAGGCTGCAAGACCTCTCTTTCATCTTGCAATTCCATGGCTCTTCCTGATCTCTCTTGCTAGGTCCGGGTAGCATTCAGACTGATTAAGCACCAATTGGAATTGAACATCATTCAGCTTCATGTTTATCTCTGCTGCTGGCCCTTCAAACAGAAATGAGACTTGCTTTACAGAAACAGATAGCAAGAACTGCAGGTGCTGGAGTCAGATTCAACACATTGTGGAGCTGGAGGAACACAGCAGGCCAGGCAGCATCAGAGGAGAATTTCTGAAGAAGGGTCCTGACCTGAAACGTCAGCTTTCCTGCTCCTCTGATGATGCTTGGCCTGTGTGTTCCTCCAGCTCCACATTGTGTTGCCTTACAGAAAGATTTTCAAATACACAAGGGAATTCAATCGTGTCAGAGATAGACCAAATGGCCAATTCCACATTATCAAGCCTGTGCCATACTCCGATTGCACTCTCGAACAGTCCCCTGACCCTCACCTCACCTTAGCCCTAACAGATTTTCCTGGTGATTGCATAAACGATCTAACTAATACTTTATAGTTATTATTGAATCTGCTACCATCATCCTTTCAGACAGCCTGTTCTACATTGTAATGACTCACTGCAATAAAAGATCTTTTCAGTTCAACTCTGGCTTTTATGCAGTGTATTCACCTTCTGGTTACTGAGCCTCCTGTTGATGTTAGCCACCCAGTTGATTAATGGATAGAGGCACTCTGAGCTGGAGGATACATGAACTGGCATGGCACCTACCTGAGTCCATACAAGACAGTACCATCGGGGTGCAGGCGGATCATGCGGTTTTTCACAGTCACCCCGTGAAGGAAGGATTTTTTGTCGTTCAGGAAGTAAGTGTCTGGAAGCCACAGCTGATCAGCCACCCTATTGTCCAGGGTGAGATTGAGTGGGAGAGCTGTATATGACAGACGCTTATCCCTCCAACCTTGTTGGAAATACATGGTGATAGTATAATCCTGCAAAACAACAACATGTCAGTTAATTATACCCTGCCTTGCTTGTCAAGTCCAAATATTAAAGGATATTTTGTAATCGCTGTCTCTGTTAAACAATCCTGTTAAACATGAACAACATTTTGCTGCTGTTCTGTGTTATGCTGTGGGTACATTGTGTTTCCAGACATTGCTCACTCCATGTTCTTGAGAGTGAGCACATGCTGTATGCTGACACTCCCAGTGCAGCGATGAGGGAGTGCTGCACAGCTGAATCTACTGAGGAATTAAACTAAAGACCCGACTGCCCTCCTAGTCAGATGTAATAGACCTTTGTATATTCATCTATTCCTCCACAATATCTATCCTCCAAGCAACATCACAAAACAGACAACCTGCCCATTATCACGTTGCTGATTCTGGGATCTAGCTGCATGTAAGTGCAGTCCTGCATTTCCTATATTACAAAAGCATGGACAATTTGAAAACACTTAACGATGCAATGTAATCTCTTGGCTGTAGAGGATTATGTGATATTTGGAGGTTGTGGGAAGTGTTATATCAATGCAAATTTTCTTTTCTCATTTTAATGGCTGCGAAGGATTGGGACATGCTGAAGTGATAGACTGTAAAAAGGTATGAATAATAGCACTGACCACTTTCAGAGGAAGAAGACCCACAACATCTGTCAGCAATTGCAGAAAAACCCATGTCAGTACTACAGAAAAGGCCTCCACATATTACACTATTGAGTAGTTTTAAACAACGGGCTTTAATAAGCACAGAATAATAACAGTATGTTATATAACAGACTGAGAGTATTACAATATTAAAAGATAAGCAATTCATATAAGAATCACCTTTTTAGTTTTGACTCTTTAAAAGCTGTGGGCTGCAATAACAGAAGAACTGTTTTGAAAACAGGGATTTACCAGGATATCTGCATAATTTCGCAACATGGAATTTGATACCAGAAAGTTGTTTGAAGTGAAGCTGATTGGTTCTCAAGTAACTGAGCAGGTTGGAATTGGAGACAAGTTGTAAAGCCATAGACATAGAGATAGAGGGAGACAGAAAGACACAGGAGGGTGTGTTTGTTGCTCTCCACAGAAGCGGTCCGTTCTCTGCAGTAAAAAAACATTTTAAACACAAAGATAACCAGTTCCATTTCCTGCATCAGTTGCTATGAGCTGTGAATTTCTTAAGTGATAAACAAGAAACACTGTCTAAGTGAATCAGTTGTTCTGTACATCTGCAGAACAGTGGAAATTTCCAGAGAAATACAACAGAACACCAAGGGCCGGGTGAGCCGAAGACGAATCATCCCAAAGTCTGAATCAGGAAGCAAAGAGACACAGACCTGATTTTCCAGTTTATTCTATATCCGTCAATAAGCTAATTTCACAATTTGTCTCTGTGTGCCTAAAATTGGGGGTGGGGGAGGATATGGGAAGAGTTTATAAGGGAATTTTAGTTAGTGGGGTTTATGTTAGTGGTTTATATCTGTGTACTAGTAGCTATAGTCTAATTACTCATCGTACTAAATAAATAATAATTTTTTAAGAAACCTGGTCCATGCTTTCTATCAACCTTGGTCTGAAGGTCAGATAAATTTGGATACGGTGCATTCCTTTTAAACAAAAAACTTTATGATTGGTTATGACTACAACAATATGTTAGTGATGAACTGGTATGGAGAGGGTGTCAGTGATGAGCTGTTTTGGAGAGAGCTTTGATAATGAGATAGTCTAGGGGGGCTTGGGTGACTAGCTGGTGTGGAGGAGGGATGGGTGACAAGGCAGCTTCGCGCGGGGCGTGGGGTGGAGTGGTGTCAGTGACGAGGTGGCATAGAGGTGGGGTGTCGGTGAGCATGGATACACCGAACAGTCATATTTTGCAATCTCCAATTTAAAACTAATCTTTCACACATGCTGCCTCTCTTCCAGTTTCATTGGTTTATAAAGTTCTAGATGGATTGTCTATTTTTAGTTTTCTATTTGAGGGTGTCCTGCAATGCTGAGTGGCAATTTGAGGTGCCTGCTCCTGTAGTTGGTGTTAGTGGACAGGTTGATGTGATGGATTTATTGCCGGTGGTTCCTGACCATCATTGCTCTGTGGGTCATCCCTAATGTTTGAGTATTGGTGGCCAGATTCATGTCTGTGTTGGATTGGATCCACCCTCTCCAAGAGAGGTCATGGGTCAGGATCTCGGCTGTTGTCTCCATGATGATCTGTTACTTTGTCAACCTGCACATTTTCAATGATGCTTTCGTCCTTCATAATGGGTTGCATTCAGCTGCAGGAATACTAGTTCCCAGAATGGCTGGTGTGATTATTTGTGCTTCCTTTGGACCTTTTGAGTCTTTGTGAGTGTGAAAGCCAGTGTTACTGATGACTTACTCCATCTGATAGAGCACGGTGGTGTCACAACTAATGTCACGTGGGAAATGTACTAGCTCCAAGAGCTAGTTTTGAAAGGAGTTAAGCATGCGTTACGTTGACCTCTTGGTGGTGTTTAAACAATCTGTATGCAGTGACTGCATGTTCCTGAGAGAGCATTATGACAGTAATATATGCCACAATACTCTGTATTCTGCACTGCAATAGACTTTTCACACTGAATTCCTTTATAATCAGCCTGAACAGTATTTGAATCAATGGTCAATTTCTCCCTATTTTTTTTTCTTTACTCATTCACGGGATGAAGGTGTCACTGGCTAGGCAGCATTTATTGCCCATTCCTAATTGCCCAGAGGGCAGTTAACAGTCAACCACATTGCTGTTGGTCTGCAGTCACATGTAAGCCAGACCAGGTAAGGATGGTAGTTTCCTTCCCTAAAGGACATTAGTGAATCAGATGGGTTTTTCCAACAATTGACAATGTCATCATTAGATGATTAATTCCAGATATTTATTGAATCTGCCATGGTGGGATGCAGACCCGGGTCCCCAGAACATTACCTGGGTCTCTGGATTAACAGTCCAGCGATAATACCACTAGGCCATTGCCTCCCCTTAATATCCTAGTTGTACAACATCATCTCACCAGCTTCATCACTGTTGTACCAGTCAGTTCAGGATCTTCATTCCACAAATCATCATTTTCAATGTCATCAAACACATTAACTATTCCACATTTTATAAGTTTCTTTTGTCATTGTTTGAATCAAATTCGTTCCAAGCTTCGCTGAACTATTGGCATCATGTTCGTCATGAGGGTGCTCAAATAGTTCTACTTTACTGACATGTTTTTTTCAACATCACCATCACAGTCACTAGATCCAAAATGTTGACTCTGTTTCTCTCTCCACAGATACTTCCAGACCTACTGATTTGCTTCAGCAATTTCTGTTTTTGTTTTAGATTTCCAACTTCCACAGTTTTTTGATTTTTATGCTTTAGTTCACTGCCTCTACTTGTCTCATTATCTATCGGACACCATTCTGAGAGGCTTATTGATACACTCAAAACAGTTCTGAGGAAGGGTCACCGGACCCGAAACGTTAACTCTGTTTTCTCCTCCACAGATGCTGCCAGACCTGCTGAGCTCTTCCAGCAACTTTGTTTTTGCTCCTGATTTACAGCATCCGCAGTTCTTTTGGTTTTTATGCAGAATATACAGCTCGGTCAGTGTTGTCTGATCCTTATCATGGTCTACAATGCTGGGATTTGAACATGCCCCAGATGAAACAAACCTGTTTCTTTGCATAGTCCTCCTGGTCTCAAACTCCTCATGCTTTTGATCACGCAATCATCCTTATCCATCCAGCCTTTCCCGTGAACAATGCCTTTGTACAATTTTTTTTGGGTGATATTCATGCACAAAGCTCCCCCAATGACTTTAATTATGTGCCATCTGCCATCAGAGTGAACGCATTGTCAGCCAAGTCATCTTGGGACCAGTCATCGTTACATAGGACAGTACAGCACAGTACAGGCCCTTCGGCCCACGGTGTTGTGCCGAACTTTTACCCTAATCCTAAGGTCTATCTAACCTTCACCCCTACCTTATACTATCATCCATATGCCTATCTAATAGCCGCTTAAATGCCCCTAATGAGGCCAACTCCACTACCCTCTCCGCCAATGCATTCCATGCCCCTACCACTCTCTGAGTGAAGAACCTACCTCTGACATCTCTCCTATATCTACCTCCACTCACTTTAAAACTATGCCCCCTCGTAATAGCTACCTCCACCCTAGGAAAAAGTAAGAGTGGTTTTCTCACCATTTTGGTCATGGTCTTGTTTGCTGGCATGTGGAAGTTCATCAGTGCTTCATCCATGTGCCCAGTGCAGACTAATCGATTCCCAGTCTTCTTTCAAAGTTGGGTGATGAAGCAATGGAATTAAATGGTTTTATTATTGAGTTCAGAAGGCAGATTCTGTCAAATTTCTGTTTCCTGGTGGAGTGCTGAATGTACCTTTCTCTAAATCTTGTGCACCACCTGGCATTAGCCTTGAACCCTGAACAACCGTCATTCTTCACTTTCCTGAGGGCATGGAGCCAACATTTTGTGGCTGATATTGTGACAACTTTCTTATGTTTGTTTAACTGTTTAGTCACTTTTTCTTCTGGTTTTAAATTGAGCTTAATCCTTGTTACCCTTTCTTAAGGACATTGTGATAGGTCATGTGGTACACACTAATCTTGCCAGTTGGTTGGGGATTGTTGCTTGAACTGATCGAGAGAATATCTAAATGTTCTGCATGCCTTTAAAAGAACAAAGTTATCAAATCAGAGTAATTTCCCCAAAGTAATTAAATATCACAACGCAGTTTGACTACTGTGGTAAACGAAAGGCAACGAGTCAATTATGTCATAAGACTGACTTTTACACATATGACAGTCATTTTTGATAAAGATTTACATCACTCGATCTTACTAATACCAAAACCAATAAAATGGAGTCAACCTGTTTCCAGGAGCCCATCAAAGATAATTAGCCGAGAGGAATATGAATGTGAGATACCTCCTGACCCAGTTACAGAACATCCAGATAGAACCTGGATGGTGAAGAAGCCGTTAGATGCAAAAGAAGATGAACTCTGCCGTACAAAGGAATTCACCCACCCATAATCTAGTCCAGTTGAAACTAAGCAATTGGAATCCACTAGCCATGATTATATTTGGGTTATTGGTAAGATGGTTCATATGAAAAGGCCAATAACTCTCTTTTGTCTTTCAGAATCGGTTTTCTCCAGGAAACAAGGACAAAAGCTGAAGAGACCCTGGAGAAGCAGCACTTGTGACCGGGTGTTACGCTCTTTCCATGTCTTGGTTGCAATTGTAATGTCTATCTGCTTAATTAACACAGCAATGACTGGCTGCACAAGAACAGATTTAAATCATCTCAAGGACTGATCCAGGGTTTAGCAAGTTCAACCTGAAGCCATCAGTTTACCTTGAACATTTATTGAACTCCATAGGAGAGCTCCCACTCTGTAATCAGCTTTTGTGTGTGTGGACCTTGAGTGTATGTGTTTGCAGTTGGAGCATTTTAGTTTTTTTTTACTGGACTGGATTAAGCAAAATAATATGTATCTCTTTAGCAAAGTGTGTCTGTATGTGAGAGGAAGAGAGACAAGCCTCTGCATCAGACAGAGTTGAATGCTAATTCAGCTGCTCCAGGACCGACTGTCAATGTTGGTGGGAATGAAAGAAGCTAGTTACAGCAGCTCTACCCGCTCTGAAATCTACCTGAAGTCTTTAGATCTGGGATGTGGAGAATGGGTTGAGTGTGGCAACTTTCAAAACCTGTTTTGTCCAGCTTAAACTGAGCTGTTCAATCAACTTCTAGCCAGTGTGGCGATGGACTGCTATCTTTCAGATCGTGACCCCATTCTCTTGGCTTTAGGATGGTAGTGACTTGGGAATGGGTACCTCAGAAAGGTCTGACTTGAACTTTTAGACTTTGTCACTTGATTGTAAACTCTCCAACTCTCTCCCCCAACCCCTCCATTTGTTTTCAACGAAATTACCTTGAAACCTTTCAAATTCCAAGGAACAAAACTTTGTCTGCAGAATACAGTTTCTCAATTTAATCCTTTGAGTTCTGGTCAATATAGACTGGACATGCTCCAAACAAATTTAATCTATATAAATATGTATACTTTCCACTTGCCTGCTTTGGTGCAGCTCCAACAACACTCAAAAAGCTTGATGCCATCCAGGAAAAAGGATCCTGCTTGATTGGCATCACATCCATCACCACCAACACTCAGTAACAAAGTGTATGCCATCTAGAAATTGCACTGCAAAAATTCACCAAGGTGCCTCTTTCAGCACCTTCCAAACCCATGACCTCTTCCATCTGGAAAGACAAGGGCAGCAGGCATAGGAACACCATCACCTGCAAGTTCCCCTCCAAACCACTAACTCCTGACTTGGAAATACAGCACTGTTCTTTCAGTGACATTGGATCAAAATCCTGAAACTCCCTTCCTAATGGCACTCTGGGTCTATCTACAGCACGTGGGTTGCACCTGTTCAAACAGGCAGTTCACCACCGACTTCTCCAGGTCAATCAGGGACAGGCAATAAATGCTGGTCCAGCCAGTGACACCCATGTCCCATGAATGAATTAGAAAAAAATCTCATCTGCATATGAGACTTGCTATCCTGTTGTCATTTGTTCATGGATATAACAAATGCTTGCTGTTGCCAACCACTCAGTCAATTTCCTAATCCTTCACGAATACCTAGATAACAAGCAGTAAAATTTAGGAAAAGATCTTTGAATTGCAAACTGTATCTAAATACATGAAACAATTACAATGTGATAGACAAATTAATTGCAGAGAGAGCGACAAATAGGTTCGACTGAATAGCTATTGCAGAGATCACGTTGCTTGGTGACTGATGTTGTGAGGCAAATATTCAGGGTGCTTGGTCTCTAAAAGTCAGCCTTGTGATGCATTTGGGATGGGTAATAATAAAGTCTGACAAAAGAACAGCTTTGAGGAAGGACCTAAAATCATGAGACCAGGAAGTAAAGTCATTCTGGATGAAGATAAGAAATAACAAGGAACATAAAATGCTGGTGAAAGTAGTCTATTCACACATTCACATTTTAAAGCATTTATCATGAAATATGAATAATTTTTAGCAAATAAAACACAATGAACGTGGACACTTTCATTTATATGTTGGTTGAACATCTAGCTCCCTCCCACCTCCCCTCCAAATTTTCCTTCACCCTTGAGGAGATGTCCTTAATCCTGGCACCTGGCAGGCAATACAGCCTTCAGAACTCCCACTTATGGCTGCAGAGAACAGTATCTATCCCCTAATTGTACTGTCTCCTACTACTAATACATTCCTCTTTCCTTCCCTGACTTGAATACCATTCTGTACGACGTACTTTGGTCAGTTTGCTCATGCTCCCTGCAGTCCTTAATCTCGTCCACACAGTTTACAAGAACCTTGGAAATGTTGGACAATTGCAAGGGCTGAGGCTCTTCAATTTTAACCCACAGGTCCTCAAACCTGCCTCACCAGCATTCACACACCCATGTCCCTGATCACAGATCAATTTTGAATTAGCTAGTGTGAGGGGTGTGACTGTGCCTAGAGCACAATTTCTAGGTAACCTTTGAGAAGATGTTCCCAACTTATGGGAGATGATTCACATTTTCGAGTCCTCCCTGCTTATTATAATTGATGGGGCTGGGACTGTGGGCAGGAGCTGTTTGGTTTGGGAGCTTGTTGGAGGAGGGACCTTTCTTCTTTAGGTGTTTAATGAAATGCTCAGTTTCTCATCCTGACAAGTCATCGACGAATTGGACCTCAGCTTCTGAGTGAGTGAGTATGCGCACACGTGGGTATCAGCTATGACCCTGTGTGACAAGGAATGATACAGTTGTCTTAGTGAAAATGGAATTGAGAGAAAATAGGAGCTAGTCCAGAATGTAATATTGATGCCCTGTATTCTGACACACATAAAGCATCAATAAACTGATCTCAGCTCAGAGGCTGATTGCAGTGAGCTAAAACCTGTTTGAAGGGTACAACTTTGGAAATTGCACTGCAATGGTGAGGATGGGCTGGGCTTTGGAGAATCGATGATGGGGAGTGGTGACATTGCAGGCCACCATGAGATCCACAAATGACACTGATCCAGAAGGAGCAAATCTCTGGTCAGGAACAGGCCATGGCTGAAGTTGGGAAAGCAGGAGGAGCTGGAGGGCAGTCAACAGAAAGCAGCAGCAGTGGGGTTTCGGTTACAATCATCGACCTGAAAATAAAACCAATGATGCAGCTCATGTAAGCTATGGTACACTCTGGTACTCAGCATCAGACTTTAAAAAAACAGAGGGTAATTCAAGTCAGGAAACTGAACAAACTCTCAGGATCTGGTAATAGGTGACCAAATCATTTGATTCTCACTCGGGGGGTAGTCATGGTCTGGAGGACACTGCTGTAGGTCAAGGCAGGCTGGTTAGACTGCTTCCCTTGATTTTCTGGGACTTGACCATAGCTATTACAGATGATGTTGGGGTCCATATCCCATCACTCCCACACAATTCCGCCCCTGGACCCTCGACCCATCATTGCCTTAATGCTAACCCAATGCCAACTACTGCCTCTAAACCCCAAGAAATCCTATGCCATCTCATCCCATACACAACACATCCCATAGACAGACTCAGAAACCATGCACAAGAAAAACAATTCCAAACATCTATTACTGCTCTGACTGTACAGACTTGGTAGTGAAAAGAATTCCCACTCACGAAGCAATCAAAACTTTTAAATCTGAAGTGGTTAATTTCGTATTGAAGCACATTTCTATTCATACACCGAGCACTTTATCAGCATCTTTAAGATGCCAATGAAACTGTGAACGTAGAACTGCCTGCTAATAAATTGGAGTTATTGAAGCTTTTGAATATCAGCCTGGCATTCATAACGCTGAGAGAAATGTCAATAAAAGACTCTATTCAAAGTTCTTGAACAGATGCTACACCAGCCAGTCTATCCACCAAAGCAAACCAAATAAAAAAAAGTATTATAAACAATTGTTGACAACAGTAGCAAGCTATTTGTTTTTTTTAAACAAATGAAAGAACAGGGGTTTTAAAACTAAACCACAGACTGACAGCTAAACAGATAATCAAGGGTATTTATATTTATTCCACAAATTCATGACACCAAGACAATGCATAATTTTGAGGTTTGATTTTGAGTTCTAGGTTTATATTTCAGTTGATAATATCCCTAAGTTTTGCAGCTTCTTAGGTAATGGTACAAAATGTGGAACTGGGAGTCCAAAGGGCATCTGCAAATGTGCCAAAGAAGCATGGCCGAAATGAACTCCAATAGCATTAGGACATCATACAACAATTAATTTCTTTTGTTGTAGTTCTGGGTCAATAGGGTTTGTGTAGTAAACAGTGTGATAAAGCACGCTTAAGGAGGAGTAAGCAGTATATTTTTAAATGAAGCATCTCTGCTCTGTTCTAAAAATAGCATAAAGACCTTTGCTTCAGAAAGAAATTTATTCATTACTTGATTTCATAACCTGTGCTGAAATTTAAAATGGAGAAGACAGAATTTATTTCCAATGATGAATTTAAATACAACTCTGTTAATATTGTCAGATTCTGCACACCCATCCAGTCTTCAGATATAATTAGACCAAAGATTGATGCTGATTGGAGATCTGTGCACGTGCCACATTCCATGTCTGGGTAAGCCATCTGAAAACTGAAGATTTAAATCCAGCCCTGGGTCAAATCAAGCAGCACATTGCTCAGAGTGTAACTTTTATTCTGTGGGAGTGAACATTCAACTGATCAGAGCTTCACACTGTCCCCTCTACACACTGTGTTGAAACTGAGTTTCACAGTTTCCTACTTTAACTTTATAGGGCCACACCACCTCCTTGAGCCCAGCGTGCCTTGAACAGAGAAATGAAAATTTAAATTAGTTTCAAAAACTAGTGCTTTATGGGTTTATATCTCCTCTCCAGCCTAACAACCTCTTGCTCATATCTGAAACAACATATTTTCTTGCTGTGGCAGCGATGCTGGGCGTAGAGGGTCCAAACTGACAACTGTTCCATCAGACTTTCTCACACAGTAATCTTAACTGTCAACACAAAGCTCTCGCTTTCTTTGTGGTTTGTATTTAATTGGCTGCAAACCATACTGAGGGACCGTGAAGTGGTAAAAATTGCTGCGTCTTTCCTATCCAGATCATTAACAAATTAGTATTATTGACCTTTGTCCAAATACTTTGCCTGATTAGATACTACTTTATCAGCAGACCAGGAATCACATTTCAGAAAGAATTCTTCAGTAACTGCACCTTCTTCTGATGTAGTGATAGGTGTTCCGCACATGAAAACAGTTCTTCTTTCATAAAATAAACACAATCTTTGGTTTAATACAGGATTTTATCACATTCATTAAAAACATCTGAATGTACTTGATGTACCCTTTGTCACTCGGCAATACAGTGTTGTAGAACTGTTACCAACTGTAAATTGGGCACTGCAAGTCCTCACTAATAGTACAAGGTACAACATCACGTTACCACAGTGCAATGATCTTTACTAAGTGAGATGGTGATTGAGCTTACTTACACAGTAGAGATAGGCCTTCTCCAGCTCTTTAAATGATTCTATGATTCTATCACCTCCTTCTGGCAGTGGTGACTGAGGACAAATGGAAGACTTGCATTTTCTAGTGCCTTGTATAACGTCTAGACTTCCCAGAGGACATCACAGTCTTTGAAGTGTAGTCACGAATTGTGACAACCACTTACACAAAAACAGCAAGCAATGTGGTCATAACCTGATAATCTGATTAGTTTGTTCAGTGAAGATGGTTAAGGGAGGTGGTGTTTAAATGTTCAGTTATTGCTGTTTGACTATGTACTTTTGGATCTGCTTTGTACTTTGTGTATGATTATTAATCCAGGGTATGGTGACTGAGAGGCAAAACTGTAGACAAGTAGCTGGAAGTGTGAAAGCAGACAATTTCAAAACAAAGTACTGTCGGACTCTTGTTCAGTCATATTACCTGGAGTGTATTGTCGCTGCATCGCTCTGAGGCAAGAAAACACAACAAGGCACAGCAGTAAGCTTATGATCCTCTATCAGACTGCTTCATTTATGTTACTATCAGACTCGTTATCAGATGAAAAGTGTGTCCAGGGAGTAAGAGAATAAAGTCACAAGATTCTACAGTTTTGAACAAACCTTACAATGCAATGTTAAAACAATAATATAATCTACAAGAGATAGTAAGAACTGCCGATGCTGGAGTCAGAGATAACACAGAGTGGAGCTGGAGGAACACAACAGGGCAGACAGCATCAGAAGAGCAGGAAAGCTGACGTTTCAGGTCGGGACCCTTCTTCATAAAATAATCTACAAGCCATGTACAACTTATTTCTAACATCCAGAACTAACCTATAGTAAATATGGGTAATAGACTTTGATTGAATGCCCCCACAGTGCACATCAAATAACAAATGCAATCAGGATGGATCCCATGGATTTCTCAGCAATTCTCCCAGATGTTAATGACACAGTGAATCAGTTAATCTTGTTCATAAAGGATTACAATTCTTCGGTTTTGCTGATCTAGACTTGAAATTCCCTCTCCAGCCAGATTGTCATGGTCTACCTCAATGAGTGCTTCAATTTGGTCGATCATTCGCCTCTCCTGGTGCTAAGATGTCCTGGACTCTAAAACTGCACTCCAGTACACATTCAAAAGCATAACTTCAGATCTTCACCCACAGCTCACTTCACAAAGCTAAAACTGCTCTTGCCCCCCAACTCCCCTATCCTGAGTTCCAATCTTGCTCAATTGCTAGAAGCAAATGCTATTTGTGAGTTTTTAAACCCCACTCTGCCGGCTAAACTGATGTATTAATTGACACAGACTTTTTCTGAACCTTTCACAGACACAAAACCATTAACCTCTCTATTTTCTCACCTCCTCAGAACCTCTTGCGAGTCCTGACTCCAACACTTAGCTGCCTATTAATTCCTCAAACTTCTTCCTGAGTCCTAACAGCATAAAACTATTTAATGGCTCTTGACTCTAATGGAGTCTCTTATACAGAATGTGTGTAATTTAGCTGCCTCCTCAGCAGTGCAGCTGACTGCAGCACTCCGAATATAGAATCTGCTTCTGTGTCTCTCATCTTCACTACAGCCTGTAACCTTTGAACTCCTCTTCAGTGATCCCTGATGGGTCCTCAGTGCCCTATCATGAATATTGCAAAACCACCTCCCTGGTTGCTGCATCAATTAGAATATTAGTCATATTTTAAAACTATCAAATGATGCTGTCTTTAGTATTGACCGTATCTGGAATTTTACCTTCTCACAGGATGCTGGAAATGGATATCATTACACCAAGAAATCCAGGAATGACTCTCCTGCTCTTAAAATAGTGTGATGAAATTCCTTACGTGCACTTGAAGTCAGGAAGGGCCTTGGTATAATGTCCTACCTGTACTGGAGCACTCCATCAGCACTGCCTTACAATGGCAGCCGACACTATACTGTCAAATGTCTGGAGTTGTAAGGAGACTCCACATACCACCTTTCAGGGTAAAGACTCACTCTACTGCTGAAAACAATGACTTCTCATCTTTCAATTTTTACAGTTTACATGTTACCATGGTTACTTGAGAATAAAAAAACATACCATTTTAAATATGATAATAGTGTGATGATGCTGTGGCAACCTTTATTCTGGACAATATGCAAACTCTCAGTAAACACATTCAATGACTATTGATGGCTTTCAATTGAGTTATTTGCTTAACTATAATCACAGGCTGAGCAGCATCACGCAAACACATCTTCTGATGAACATCAGTTATAATGGGGGCTGAAATCTCTCCCGTAGCCCGTTGCAATGTTCTTACAGTCTAATTAACTTAAATCATAAACCCCTCAAACTAATAATGCTGGCATTTTTATTTGATGCACAGATGGTGGTGTCCCATCTGCAGATTGCGTTCTGGAGTCAAGGCAGTTAACTGAAAGAGATGATGAACATAGTTAACTCCAGCTGTTAGAATGAAGCCTCCCCCTAAAGCACAAAGATAGCAATGATGAAAGGTCATTCAGATAAATGTCCCAATACATGTAACAATAAAAAAAATGAAGCATATTCATTTGTAGGAAATGTGGCAACCAGTTTGATAACATGATCCCACAAACAGAAATCTGATAATGAATAGGTATTCTGTTTGAAAACTCCTTGGCCTGCAATGTTTTATTTTATTAATATCTGAGATTTCCTTACTATTCTTCTCTACTCTCTGTCGCTCCCCACAGACGTTACAAGTCCTGTTAGACTTTTCCTAGCATTTTCTGTTTCTTTCTCAAATTTGTTTTGTTGGTATTGGCCAAGGGATACCAGGCAGAACTTGCCCTCATTTCTTTGAAATCGAGCCAATTTTCATGTGATATTGTCCCTCCCTTATTTACATGTAAATCTCTACTCAATAATATTGAATGAGTTTGCCTAGTAATTTACTGTTTTAAATTTAAGAGGTGAAAGGAAATAAGTTAAATGAACATCTAATTTTTAATACTTATTAGAATCATAGAAATGTCACAATATGGAAGGACACCATTGGCCCATTATATTTGTACTGTTTCTCCATAATGTCTCCATAATGGCCCTGCACTCATTGTCAATCATCTATAAACTCTAATGGCTCTACAGGATCCCCCATTATGCCCTCACAGGTAAGATTGTGTACCAAGAACTAAACTGATTCTTTGCGGAATCCACATGGGTCACAGAGTTCTTACAGCACAGAAGGGAGTGTTCGGCTCATCGTGTCCATGCCAGTCATCAAACATTCATCTATCCTGATCCCAATCGCCAGCACTTCGCCTGTA